AGGGGATGTTTAATTCTCATTTTTCTCAAAATACATTTTTATTTCTCTTCTTTTCAACTACACATTCTTCATTAAAATAATATTACACGCAAATCAAAAAAAATTCCTTTATTTTTAACTACATTCTCCATCAATCTACTATTTCAAAATACATCCTTCAAAAATAATGAATCTCAAACATCCCCAAATTTCAATAAAGCCCAAGTACAAAGTACTCATTTCGTTGAACAAAGGGATACTATTGAAATAGTTTAAGCCTTTATTTGATAGTCATTATTCTAAGAGTATAGAATTTTTAAATAGTGATTTTTTGGAGAATGTGTAGTTAAAAGTATGAATTTTTTTTTTTTTTTGAATTTATGTGAAAAATATTTTATTTTGTAAATGTATGGTTGAAAATGAATATAAAAATTAAATAGTTTTAAAATAATGATTGTCAAACAAAAATTAAGTACAATTAAGGTACAACCGTTCAAAAAAAAAAATATTATCACATTACATGACTTTTGATATAATTATATATTATAAACTATTGATTATAGTTGGTTATAATTGATAAGTGTATTTTATACACTTATCTGTACAATTAAATTAGAGTAATTATTGTTATTTTAAATGAGTGAAGGTTTAATTTTGTATATATTTTGTTTGTTACGTGCATTTCGATGAAACATCATGAAATTGAAGAAAAGAGACGAAAAATTGGCTAAAGTAGACCTAATCCAAAGTGTGAGGACTAAATCGCAAAATGATAATAGATGGTTCGGACCTAGTATCGATGATTGGAGAGATATTGAAGTTAATTAGACGAAGTTGGAAGATGGAGGGTCAAAAAAATACAAAGAAGAAACTAAAATAAACAAAGAATGAAATTTGGGGGACCAAAGTGCAATAATTGGAAGATTTTATGCATGCGCGAGAGCACAGGCAAAATATCTCGTGCGCTCACGGACTTAGTTTTTATTTACAGAGATCAAACCAATTGAATGGCGCGCGGGCAAGGGATAACACTACCCGCGCGCACAGGCTAATTCTGGGCCTGAACGGTCCAATTTTCTGATTTTATCCGAATTCCTATAAAAAAACAAATTTAACCTACATTCTAAAGGGGTGAACGGCTCAGAGCATATCAAATCCTAAATCTCACCAAAAGAAAGAGGTTAGCACAAGATTCAAAGGCGATTATCATAAGAGATTGGAGATTAAAAGTCTGTATTGAAGAAATACAAAGAAGAAATTGAGTTTTCACTTTTCATTCATTTTCATTCCAGGTGATGTTTTTCCAAATCTTATTTTCTGATTTACATAACATTATGCTAGGCTAATTATTTCATGTATTGGATGAAGATGAAACCTTTTATTATTTATTTTTAATTCAAGACTAGTGGTTAGCTGAATTCTTGTTTTTTCTTGAT